CCCAGCACTTTGGGAGGCCGAGACGGGCGGATCACGAGGTCAGGAGATCGAGACCATCCTGGTTAACATGGTGAAACCCCGTCTCTACTAAAAAATACAAAAAACTAGCCGGGCGAGGTGGCGGACGCCTGTAATCCCAGCTACTCGGGAGGCTGAGGCAGGAGAATGGCGTGAACCCAGGAGGCGGAGCTTGCAGTGAGCTGAGATCCGGCCACTGCACTCCAGCCTGGGTGACAGCGCGAGACTCCGTCTCAAAAAAAAAAAAAAAAAAAAAGAAAAAGTTGGTGAGACTCTGTCTCAAAAAAAAAAAAAAAATTAAAGCTTATATAAAAGTAGAAATACTAGTACAATAAACCTCCATATATCTATCACCCAGATTCAATAAATTATTGTCACATTTGCTTCTTCAACTAATCCCTTTTCCTTTATAAAGTCTCTGCTTAAATAGTAAGCAAATTCCAGATTATCAGACCATTTCAGTCATCCATAGTTCTATATGCATCTCATGTATATATGCATTTCATCCATAGTTCTATATGCATCTCATATGCTTTATATGCATTTCAGTCACCCATAGTTCTATATGCATTTAAGCTTATGCATTTTATTACATAAGCTTAAAGCCAGTCTCACACGTAGTAAAATGAATAACATCCAGTCTACAAGAAAATTTCCTCAATTATCTTAAAATGTCCTTTTTTGGCCAGGCACAGTGGCTCACACTTGTAATCCCAGCACTTTGGGAGGCCGAGGCAGGCAGATCACCTGAGGTCAGGAGTTTGAGACCAGCCTGGCCACCATGGTGAGACCCCCAACTCTATTAAAAATACAGAAATTGGCCGGGTGTGGTGGCAGGTGCCTGTAATCCCAGCTACTCAGGAGGCTGAGGCAGGATAATTACTTGAACCCAGGAGGCACAGGTTGCAGTGAGCTGAGACTGTACCACTGCACTCCAGCCTGGGCAACAAGAGAGAAACTCCATCTCAAAAAAAAAAAGTCATTTTTCAGTTTGTCTATTCAAATCAGCATCCATCACGATCCATACATGGCATGTGGTTATAGGAGCTCTTAGGTCTCCTTGAATCTAGAGCTGGCCCCTTTCCTTAATTAACGTTTTTTATGCCACTGAATTTATGAAGAAACCAGGTCACTTGCCCTGTAGGATAAGCCACATTCTAGACTTGTCTATCAGTTAGGATAGGCTAGGTTATACTGTGGTAACAAGCAATTCCAAAATCTAATTGGCTTAAAACAATGAAGCTTAATTTCTTACTTCTCCTATATACCCATCTCAGATTGAGCTACTGATGACTGATAAAAACAGAATTCCTTTACCCAAAATATTGAAAAGAATGTAAATAAAAACGGAAACAAATTGATAAAATACTTTAAAGTATATCAGTGACAACTTCCTGTTTAAATAAATATATTGTTAAAAAATCATGCAAGAGCATTTTGTTATTACTAGGAAAGATTTGAGGAGCTCTGCTACCTGTCAAACATCAGTATCATTTCCAGACCCAGACTGATAAAGTAGTTACTATGCAGAACATTGTCGGTCAATTATGGCACAGGAGGAAAAGAGCCCCAAGGGGCACAGGAGGAAACGAGCTCTCATAGGCAATTAAATGCCTCAGCCGCGAAGTATTCTTCATCTCATTGGCCAGAACTGGTCACATGGTACTACCTAAACAAATGCCAGGAAGTGCCTGTAATCCCAGCACTTTGGGAGGCCGAGACGCGCGGATCACGAGGTCAGGAGATCGAGAGCATCCTGGCTAACACGGTGAAACCCCGTCTCTACTAAAAAATACAAAAAAACAAAAAAACAAAAAAACCTAGCCCGGTGAGGTGGCGGGTGCCTGTAGTCCCAGCTACTCGGGAGGCTGAGGCAGGAGAATGGTGTGAACCCGGGAGGTGGAGCTTGCAGTGAGCCAAGATCCGGCCACTGCACTCTAGCCTAGGCGACAGAGCGAGACTCCGCCTCAAAAAAAAAAAAAAAAAAAAACAAATGCCAGGAAGTATTATCTTGCCATGTCCAGGAAAAGCACAGATCTGGACATTTCAGGAAGTTGCATTAATGGCTACTAGTGTATTTCATTCCTTGCAGTGTTGCTTTACTTGTTCCTCTATCTCTTGAGTTTCCTGAAAATGGAGGTTATCGCTAGAGTTTGATTAAATTTCAGGTTCAGTAATTTTGGCAAGAGGACTTCATAGGTTGGTCTGTGTGCTTCACATAAAATCACATCAGGAAGCATACCGTGTTTGACTGTAGTAGATTGTAGCAGTAATGGCTCCCTCTCACCCCAGCCAATTTTTTTTTTTTTTTTGAGATGTAGTTTTGCTCTTGTTGTCCAGACTGGAGTGCAATGGCGTGATCGCGGCTCACTGCCACCTCTGCCTCCCAGGTTCAAGCAATTCTCCTGCCTCAGCCTCCTGAGTAGCTGGGACTACAGGTGCATGCCACCACACCTGGCTCATTTTATATTTTTAGTAGAAACAGGGTTTCACCGTGTTGGCCAGGCTGGTCTTGAACCCCTGACCTCAGGTGATTTGCCCACCTCAGCCTCCCAAAGTGCTGGGATTACAGTCATGGGCCACTGTGCCTGGCCCCAATTTTTTCAGACTTCCTTGTATTTATGCCCTTGGGCAGGCACCTCTTGTTTTCACTCTGGGCTTGGACACATGACATGATTTGGCAAACAGACAACAGCAAATCTGATGGCAAATCGAGACTCAAAAATCATTTGCACTGTGTTTAGAGATAGCAGAAGAAAAAGAAAACTTTGCATACTGGAGATTTCCCTCTTTGCTACTTTTCAGAATTCTGAGACCATCATCTGAAGAAGCCTGGGTTAGCCCCCTGGAGGACAAGAAAAAACTTGCAGCAGAAACCTGCAAACCTTAAAACATGTGAGTGAAATCATCCTACGCTATCTAGACCATAGGAGTTGCCAGCTGACCACAGGTACAGCAAAGCAAGCACAAGCCAGAAAAAAATGCCAGCAGATCCCCAGAATTGTGAGCAAATGAAATTGTTGCATTAAGCCATTATGCTTTGAAGTGGTTTGTAACAGAGCAAAAGCTAACTGATAAACAAATCCATTTTTAATAAATCAATAGACTCAGATCCCTGCATTGCAAAGTTCCCCACCAATCTTTCAATCAGCTCATCCACTGATTGTTGCCTATATCAATGTTTAATTTCATGCAAATCAATGATTATTTTTTTCCTTTTGTTTTGAGACAGGGTTTTGCTCTGTCACTCAGGCTGGAGGGCAGTGGCACAATCATGGCTCACTGAAACCACGATCTTCTGGGCTCAAGCAAACCTACCACCTCAGCCTCCCAAGCAGCTGAGACTACAGGCATGTACCACTCTGCCTGGTTTTGTTATTTTTAATTTTTTTTTGTAGATATGGGGTCTAGCTATGTTGCTCAGGCTAGTCTGAAACTTCTCAGCTTAAGCCGTCCTCCCACCTTGGCCTCCCAAAGTGCTGGGATTATAGGTATGGGCCACCATGCCTGGACTAATGATGATTCTCTAATTCTATCATATCTTGCACATTAATAAGCAGGAATTCTTCTGCAAAGCACTTTCTCTCATCTACTAGGGTTATCTAGTAACTCTCAAATATAGTCTGTACATGATAGATAGATGCCCAATTCTTTCTTTTTAAATACAAATATTCAAATGAGTAATTCTGCCCTAGTTACATCCTATGTAGTCCAATGAGGGTTTTGTTTTGGTCTTTTTTCTCTTCTATCAATATGAATTCACTTTTAAATACATTCAGTATGGTTGTAGTCAATTGTAAATTTTTTTTTCCTGCTCAAATTGCCCCCCTTTTTTTTTTTTTGCTAATAATAGTACTTTCATGGTGGCTTCTGTATCCTCTTGACATTATCCATTAGTCTCTACTTTCTGGCACAACAAAATGTCCCAGGCTCATCTTGTCTATTTCTTGTCACACTTTTGGAATTGGCCATTCCTCCAAAGAGTCTTGGTTCCAATTAATGGAAAAGGTATTTAGAGATCACAATCTGGGTACTTTATATGCTCACTGATATTTGGATGTCACTGCTTCTAGATCTTTTCATGGACTTAAGAAATAGTATTCTTAAAAAAGAGAAAGAGGGCCAGGTGTGGTGGTTCATGCCTATAAACCCAACGCTTTGGGAGGCTGAGGTGGGCAGATTGCTTGAGCCCAGGAGTTTGAGACAAGCCTTTACTCCAGCCTGGGTGACCTTGTCTCAAAAACAACAAAAAGTAAGATGATGTATTTCCTAACCCTTCTCTGAGGTTAGTAAAGTAAAAGTAAAGGCTGGGTGCGGTGGCTCATGCCTGTAATCCCAGCACTTTGGGAGGCCAAGGTGGGCAGATCGCTTGAGCTCAGGAGTTTGAGACCATCCTGGACAACAAGGTGAAACCCCTTCTCTACAAAAAAATACAAAAATTAGCCAGGCATGGTGTTATGCACCTGTAGTCCCAGCTACTTGGGAAGCTGAGGTGGGAGGATGACTTGAGTCCAGGGGATGGAGAGGTTGCAGTGAGCCAAGATTGAGCCACTGCACTATAGCCTGGGAGACAGCTAGACCCTACTACAAAAAAAATTTTTTTTAATTAAAAGAAAAAGTAAAATCACTTGTTTTACAGGGCCCACCTCAGGTTCCATGACCTCAATGAAACCTGTCCATAAGTACTTTCTCTTTTCTGACCTCTTAAATTGTTTACTGTCTATATTGCTCATTTAGTTCTTTGCATCAATCAATCAATTAAAAAATTAATGCACTACAAGCTGGAGAGCACCAGAGTGGATGCTGTGGGGATGCAATGTATTACACATTAAATTTTCATGTGCAGTCACTTCCTCGATTAAGCTATATACTGAAGCCAAAGCTTCCTCATTTCCTCCATGGTGGCCAGTACTGCTGACTGATAAAAACAAAATTCCTTTACCCCAAATACTGAAAACAATGTAAATAAAAACTGAAACAAATTGATACAAATCCTTTTAATAAAGTATATCAGTGACAACTTCCTGTTTAAATAAATATATTGTTAAAAAATCATGCAAGAGCATTTTGTTTTAATTATGAGGAAAGGTTTGAGACTACTGTTCCCTCTGCAGAAACGCTATGCACAGATGCAAAATGGTCAAAGGCTGATACAATAATGAATCTCAAGTAAGTAGCGGAGCCATCACGTGCCTGTATGGGAAAAAAATCAATATAAATGCTTTTAGCAGTGCTAGTTAACTGTTAACAAGCAGTTAGCAGAAGAAATGGCTTGATGCAAGAGTAATATTCTAAATACATAACAATATATAAGGCCAGCTACATATAATAGTTGTGGTACGTATCAGCTAAATATAAGCCTTGGTTTGATGAAAAATAGCAACTGGAGCTAAAAACTGCAACTCTCATTTTTGTAGGGACAGGGTCTCGCTGTGTTGCCCAGGCTGGTCTTGAACTAGCCTCAAAACTAGCCTCCCAAAGTGCTGGGATTACAGGTGTGAGCTACCATGCCCAGTTTCTAATTTTTTAAAAGTGTCGGCTGGGTGCGGTGGCTTACGCCTGTAATCCCAGCACTTTGGGAGTCTGAGGTGGACAGATCACCTGAGGTTGGGAGTTCGAGACCAGCCTGACCAACATGGAAAAACCCTGTCTCTACTAAAAATACAAAATTAGCCAGGAGTGGTGGCACATGCCTGTAATCCCAGCTACTTGGGAGGCTAAGGCAGGAGAATTGGTTGAACCTGGGAGGTGGAGACTGCAGTGAGCAGAGATTGCACCATTGCACTCCAGCATGGGCAACAAGAGCAAAACTCCGTCTCAAAAAAAAGAAAAAAAGTGTCTTTCTGAAGTATTTTTCATAATAAAGAAGTTTCCTTTGGTTACTGTTGCCTCAGAATATACTACCCTGAAGCATGACTACATTTTTATATTTACATAATTTCTCTGGAAAGCAATTAGCCAATATATTTTAAAAGCTCTAAGTATGCTTATAACCTTGCACCCAGTAATTCTATTCCTTGAAATTTAATCTTAGAAAGTAAGAAAAAAGGTGGAGGTCACAGTAGCAGGAATATGCATAGATGTCCCCTGTGTATACAGAGGGGACAAACTGTGTAATGACAGAGGGAAGAAAAAGAAAATTAGTTTAAATGTATGCCAATTGGCAAACATTATTTTAAAATTGTACTTATGAAGCCTGTATAATATACTTATGAAGCCTGTATAATATAATACTAAGTTAAAAAAAAGACACAAAATTGTCCACACATTATTATTCTAACTGTACAGCAAATGGTCAACAACTAGAAGAAAATAAATACAGTAAAAGTTTTTGTGACAGGGTAATAAAATTATGGGTGATTTCCAGCCTCCCATTCCCCCCTGCTATTTTTCAAATTTTCTATAATGCTGTGACTCTCCACAGTGGAGTCCTGAAACAATATACGAAAGGTAGCAGGGACTTACTAATCATAACCCACTAGGTAAAGACAGAAAAAAACAGGAAGATAAAATTCAGTAACATTAATTATTTTTCAGGACCTCACTGGCCTCCCCAGTACTCGGGTGAATTTTGGTGGGAGAGAAAGGAACAAAAGGGATTCAAAAACTTCCTACAGAATTTTTTGAAACACTGATTTAATAGTAGCTTCCGGCAAGTTGTGAAGAAGTAAACTTAATGCATAAGGTACGATTTTAACCCTCACTTAGGGAAACTTTAATTAAACAAAGCATGACCACCTAATAGATATTCAGTTGTTTTACTTTTTTGTGTTAGTCTAAAACCGGGGCCTGACCAACTACCAGGAACAGAGGAACTCCTGATGAGGCAGCAGCTTCCTCATCAACAGCCATTCATTTCACTTGACAAGCAAAGCCCAATGGAATGTTGTCGAAAAATACTGGTTCTCTTTCCACCTCACCTCTCTTTGGCTTATTTGTTGCTGATCCTATGCTCTAGTTCCCCTTATCTGAATCTCCCTTGTTCTTTCATGCTTAAATTAACATTCAATTTTGGCATCTCGACCTTTTTTGATTCCTATTCTAAAATGCCTACAGAATCAAACGAAAAAAAGCAAACCAAATAAATACTTCAAAGTAAATGAATGAGAAAAATAAAACAAAAAAAAAATGAATTGTTTTATCTTGCCGTCACTCTCTATGAAAGAGCCTAATTTATGAATGTACATTTAGCTTATATTATTATTGAGAATAACTTTCTCTACTGGTTGATTTAGATACAGAACCTATAATATCATGAGGATATTTATTATATATGACTATGGAGATAGGTTTAAAGTCTAAATACATTGTGCACGTTAATTTTTAATTCTATAAAGTATATTCACTTACCATAATTTCTTCATTTTGAAGCTGCCCCTCTGTGTGTACCAAATCTAAAACACAAATGTAACAGAAGAAATGAGTTAAGGGTCAAAATACATGAGAATAGCTACTGAAATTTATGTTCAGCAAAATATGATATCTGGTAAATTATAAGACCAGGTTTGAAGGACTCATCGTTTGCATGTTGAAATTTGATTTAAAAATAGAGGTATAGGCCGGGCGCGGTGGCTCAAGCCTGTAATCCCAGCACTTTGGGAGGCCGAGACGGGCGGATCACGAGGTCAGGAGATCGAGACCATCCTGGCTAACACGGTGAAACCCCGTCTCTACTAAAAAATACAAAAAAAACTAGCCGGGCGCGGTGGCGGGCGCCTGTAGTCCCAGCTACTCGGGAGGCTGAGGCAGCAGAATGGCGTGAACCCGGGAGGCAGAGCTTGCAGTGAGCTGAGATCCGGCCACTGCACTCCAGCCTGGGCGGCAGAGCTAGACTCCGTCTCAAAAAAAAAAAAGAGGTATATGATATATAAGGCAAAAAAGATAATCTATGAGCTATAAAATATCCTAGTGAGTATAAACAAAAGGAAAAGTAAATGTCAATTATATTAATAGTAAAAGAATATAAGGAACTGATAAAATGTGAAAATTTCTTTTTAAAACATTTATTTTAAAAAATCCCCTTTTCAAGAAAAAAAAAGTGAACATTTGAGGATCCAGCTACTAACAGAAAGGAGCCATTTTGCCATACCCAAAGGTAACAACTAGAGCTGAATTTCTCAGTGAGACTTTCACTATGATGCATAATTGTGTGGCCCATGAAGTAATCTTTTCTGGTATCCAAGTTTTAAAAATGTTTCCTTATCTAATTTTAGAGCAGATTAATTTATTTGATCATGAGTTAATCATATCAAACATTCTTTTGGAAACATGAAAGATTTAATTGCTATAATGATAGCTAATGACAGTATTCAAAATTAACTTCATATAAAATAATGTATACAATGTAAAAGCCCCATAGTATTAAAAGAAGTGTTTCTATTTCCTAACCCTTTTCTGAAATAATGAAAATCAGTAATCTGCTTTACCCCTTCTTTCTCCTTTAGTCCTGCTTCCTAAAAGTAAACATTCTCAACTATTTAAGCTGTTTTTCCTGAAATTATATGCTTTTATTCCTTTTTGATAAATTTTTTACTGACTTTATAGTATAGTAGGTGAAATTTTAGCTTTTTAAAGCCGAAATCCCTCTTTTTCCTCCTTCAACTTCTCCCTCTTTCCCTCCTCTCAAATTTGAAATCCTACTTGATGGTTACATTACTTTGTCTATCTAAAGGTTATTTACTCCTGAAATAAGTAATGAATTATAATGATATTTTCTTTCTTGTACAACTCTATCACCAGAAATTAATAATAAACTTTTTCATTTGCATAGTTTTTTTATTTATGAAAAATTGAAAAACATCAGCTGGGCACGGTGGCTCACACCTGTAATCTCCGCACTTTGGGAGGCCGAGGTGGGCAGATCACGAGGTCAGGAGATCGAGACCATCCTGGCTAACACGGTGAAACCCCATCTCTACTAAAAAATATACAAAAAATTAGCCAGGCGTGGTGGTGGGCACCTGTAGTCCCAGCTACTCGGGAGGCTGAGGCAGGAGAGTGTCATGAACCTGGGAGGTGGAGCTTGCAGTGAGCCAAGATCGTGCCACTGCACTCCAGCCTGGGCAACAGAGAGAGACTCCATCTCAAAAAAAAAAAAAGAAAAGAAAAAGAAAAGAAAAATATCAAACATACTTAGGAGAGAACATAACAAAACTCCCACATATACCCATAAGCTAGATTTTATAATTACTAACATTTCATCATAGTGGATTTATCAATTTTTTTTTTCACTAAAGTATTTTAGGTCAGGTGTGGTGGCTCACTACTGTAATACCAGCACTATGAGAGGCTGAGGTGGGTAGATCATTTGAGGTCAGGAGTTTGAGACCAGCCTGGCCAACATGGTGAAAACTCTTTCTCTACCAAAAATATAAAAATTAGCCAGGCATCATGGTGCATGACTGTAATTCCAGCTACTCAGGAGGCTGAGGCTTGAACCTGGGAGGCAGAAGTTGCAGTGAGCCAAGATTGTGCCACTGCACTCCGGCCTCAAAAAAAAAAAAAAAAAAAAAAAAAAAAAATTAAAGCAAGTGCAAGACATTATTTGACATTTTACCTCTAAATACTTTTTTGTTCTTTTGAGACAGGCTCTCACTCTGTCACCTAGATTTAGGTGTAATGGCACGATCTCAGCTCACTGCAACCTTCACCTCCCAGGCTTAAGTGATCCTCCTTCCTCAGCCTCCCAAGTAGCTGGGACTACAGGTGTATGCCACCACACCTAGCAAATATGTATATATATTTTTTGTAGAAACAAGATTTCTCCATGTTGCCCAGGGTAGTTTCTTGAATTCCTGAGATCAAGCGATCCACCCACCTCAGCCTCCCAAAATGCTGGGATTATGGGCGTGAGCCTAGCTTCCCCTAAATACTTAATTATCCATTTCTAAATAGTAATTCTTTATATAACCATAATACCACCATCATAACAACATTAAAAATAGTGTTTTAATATAATATGAAACCCAATTCCTATTCAAATTTTCCCAATTGTCCCTGTCTTTTCATAATTGGTTTATTAAAATCAGAGTTAAGTATCTTTTAACCTTGAACTGCTTTCTCTCCCCCACACACATTTTTTAATGCCTCTGACTTACTGAAGACACCAGGTCAGTTGTCCCGTACAGTGTCCCACATTCTAGATTTTTTTTTTTAGAGATGGGGTCTTGCTCTGTCACCAAGGCTGAAGTGCAGTGGCATGATCACAGCTCATTGCAATCTCAACCTGCTGGGCTCAAGTGATTCTTCCATCTCAGCCTCCCAAGTAGCTACAATTATAGGCACATGTCACCATCCCTAGCTAATTTTTAAATGTTTTTGTAGAAACAACATCTTGCCATGTTTCCCAGGCCAGTCTTGAACTCCTGGGCTCACGCAATCCTCCTCCCTCAGCCTCCCAAAGTATTGGGATTACAGGCGTGAGCCACTGTGCCCATGCCCCACATTCTAGATTTTATCATCTTGCCTATTCGTAGTTTCACTTAATTTGTTCCTCTATCTTCTATATTTCTTATAGATTGGAAATTAGAGCTAAAAGCTTGATTATATTCATGGTCTGAGGTCTTCATCAATGTCTTGTGATCTTTGTCTTTTGTTACTTCTGGATTATTTGAAAACTGTGCATCATTTGAAAACTGTGTGCATGAGCTACACTTGTTGATTACTGGACCATAGGGTGACCAGAAATGAGCTGGCCTTTATCAGTATCCATAGGTCTTTTTTCTAGGGCCATTTAGTTTCTCCAAAGATGAATGTTCCAGTCTTCCAGCTGAGGGTATATTCTTGGCTGCTGACATTAATACCAGAACACAGGAAGGAGGCTGGTGTTCCTGCTATTCAATATGTAGACTTCCACTAGTATCCAATTTTCAACTCCATGTCTCACTCACTCCCTACTATGTATCTGGTCTCCTGAGCCTCAACATTCTATATTTGCAGTTGTCTCTTGAGGGTGGTGGTGGAGGTCTGTGGGAGAAAGGAGTGGTCACTTAGCTTTGCAGGATGGAAGAAGGTACCTAGAGTCTGATTACTCTGTATATAGATGTTCAACTAATCATCCTTATTTTCTGACCCAGGTCTCATTCATACTTCCCATGGCACCTGTTGCCTTTCAGCTCTAGGCCTTTCTGGGGTTCTGTGTGACAAAGTGGCTTGCTTCTTATTGATATGCTTCTTGGCAAGACCTTAGGTTATAACCTAGTTCATTCAGCTAAAGAAGTTACTACTCTTCCATCTGCTTTCTCACATTTGCTTTAGTTTGCTGGTTGTTTAATCTTTGTCCTTGTAGGTTTATGCCTGTTTTTATTCCTTTACTATTATTTTCATGATATTTTGAGAGGGAAAAGAGATAGACATATGGCCGGGCGCGGTGGCTCAAGCCTGTAATCCTAGCACTTTGGGAGGCCGAGACGGGCGGATCACGAGGTCAGGAGATCAAGACCATCCTGGCTAACACGGTGAAACCCCGTCTCTACTAAAAATACAAAATTTAGCCGGGCAAGGTGGCGGGCGCCTGTAGTCCCAGCTACACGGGAGGCTGAGGCAGGAGAATGGCGTAAACCCGGGAGGCGGAGCTTGCAGTGAGCTGAGATCCGGCCACTGCACTCCAGCCCGGGCGACAGAGCGAGACTCCGTCTCAACAACAACAAAAAAAAGAGATAGACATATGAAGGCAAGATGCTGTGTTTAATTAAGTAGAGGCTATCAATTCTGCTGGTGATATTTAAATAGTACCATTAATCAGGAGGAAAGGAAAGAAGATGAGAAACTAATATTTATTGTCTATTATATGCCAGACACTAGTTCACCAAAACCTTAAATGATAGATATCATCGCCATTTTCCTAATAAGGATTTTGAAACTGAGAAAAATTAAGTCACATGTTAATAGTTATATAACCAGTAAATGAAGAAGCAGCTTTGTGTTCAAACCTGGGTCTTTCTAGGTCCTAAATGTGTCACAAGGATCACTGAAGTCATCTTTTTTCACCAAAGTGCAGCTAGATGAGAAATGTAGAGTCAAAGGAATATTATCTACTCCTTCATGCTCAGAACAATGCTGGTGAAACACATACCTTTTTCAATCCATTGCTCAAAATCAACTGGCTCTTTAGACGTGCTCTTTTCAATCTTCAAGGTCTGTACTGACATTGTCAATAAACAAAGTAAGTAAAGTGTTAATCTGTCTCTACATTTTTGACCCTATATTTCTTTTTCCCTCTGCCTGAGATTGTCATGCACAGTGGAACTACACAAACACTGGGATCAGAAACATCATGGAAGTTACTCTGTATTTTTCCAAAAAACCCTATAGTAAAATATAGTCTTGTGTAACTAATCTTCCAAATGTTTGCAACCATACAACACAGAGCAAGCAGAGCTTTTTTGAATTTGGCATTATTCCAATTTTTTTGTGTGTACTGGCAATAATAATACTATTGGTGGTCTTGGTCATAAACATTTATGGAGAGCCTATGATGAGTCAAACATATTTATCCATTCACTTTTGACTACAATCTTATGAGAAAGGTATTTTAACCCACTTTACTGGTGAGAAAACAGGTTTAGAGGAGCCAAGCAAGGTGTTCAATGATATACAGCTAGTAAGTACCAGAAACGGAATTCAAACCCAGAGCCTCCACAATTAATGAGAAAAGAGACTTATCAGGAATACAGTCATCTTCCTCCTAAACTGGTTTTTCTCCACTGTTCTCAGTCCAGTCTCTACCACTCCAGATCCACTCTTCCTCTTCTTTGTCCTGTTCTGTGCCATGAGGGGCTAACCTCTGTGGACTGTATCACATGGATTCATTTACCACTGCCTTCTGACTGGATTTGTCCAGTGGGAGACACCAGGGGGAGATTGGGGTGGGGAAGGGAGATCAGCCAATTTTATCTCCACTCCCTTCCTGCTTCAGTGTGACATCTTTGACAGTTTCTCCTGCCTACAGCTCCTGTTAGGCCCTTTTACACAGGCTCCAGCTCTCACAGATCTCTGATAACACTATTTCCTTCCCTTGTGCCAGGGCTGGTCACAGCTTCCTGCTACAGCTAGTTTCTGAGGGCCTCATCATTCCTTGCCTTGTTTCTTCCCTTAACCCAGGCCATAATTTTGCAAGTAGCCCCATCAATAGAGCCTCTTCATTTGAACCATCTGGGATGTATTCTGTTTCCTGCCATGATTTTGTCTGATACATTTTATCCTTAAATAAATAGGATTAGAATGATGTCCCAAGGGAGATTATCCCCCTAAATTCCTGAGAAAATGCCACTAGTAATAGAAGAATCACAACTATCCAATGTAAATAATCAGGGTTATCAGATTTTCAACAAGAATTTGACAAAGAACTCCAGGACAAATGAATCTAGAATAAAGATGTCATGGAACTTAGTGTTCTGGCAAGCTGGAGTCTTATATTCCTAATAGGGCCTTTTGCCAGACTTTTACATAGTAAATTGCATGGAAATTATTATGTGCTTTGGAAGGGTTTCAAATTTGCAGTTTCAGAGAGGCCAGTTGAGCTCAAGGCAGTTAACCCATAATCCCCATCCTTTCACCCCAGCAATAAAACTGGATTCCATGCTATAAAGAAAAACTAGTGTTTTGCCAAAAGTTTACATACATGCCTTCTGCCTATGGAAAAAATGAAAGGATAATGAAAATCAACACATGAGCCTTACCTGGAGCACCGAAAAAAAAAAGAAGAAAAAATTAATGTAAGATTTGCTTACCAAAGTAACTTTGGATTACAAGCCTTTCAATCCTTACATGTTTGTGGAAACAAATAATGAATTCCTGGGGAAACATTCCTGTGGTGGTCCAAAACGTTTCTGGATTCCTATTGTTAATTTTAAAGAAAAAATAAGAATAGCCAAATATAAATGGTTAATCATAAAATTTTACTGAATACCTGTTTTTTTAAAATTAAATGACTACTGGATTCTTACATCTCCTTTCTATTAATTCTGCCTCTAATCTCTCTCTAACTTTAATAATTCTTCTTTACTACTACCAGGTATTCTTTTCTAAAACACAGAAACGGAATTGATGTCACTCCTATCTAAATGCCTCAGTGGTCCCTTATTGCCTATAATTCTAAACTCCTTCGTATGGCATTTAAGACTGTACAATCTGGTTCCATCATTAAGTTATATTCTCTTCTATCACTGTGGTCACACTGGGCCACTTAAAATTCTGCAAATACGTTATGCAGGCTCTTGCTTCTGTACCTTAGCTCATTCATGAGATTTTGTTTTTTGTTTTTTTTACCCGAAAAACCCTTCTTCCCCTTGCATAAGTTAATTCACTTTCTGGTCCCATTTATCTAACACCACCAAATCAGAATCACTTCCTCCCTCTTTTGCACTTATCTCATACTCAGCCTCCATCTCTACATTGGCACTTAATCTCCTGTGTTTCTATGGCTCCCACTAGATGCTGAGCTCTGAGTCCAGCTTCTTTCTCTTACTCATCTTTATAACCCTACAACTGCTGCAATGCTCACCCATAGTAGATATATGCTAAATGTCTGTTCAAACAAAATTAAAACATGCACTGAATTTTAAGTCATATATAGTCAAAATAGTATATATGGTTTTGACTACAGAAATAATCATTTCTATTTTAACTATATAAGCTTTTTACTTTTTTGGGAAGTAAAATTTACCTACAGTGAAATTTACCTTAAGTGCATAACTTAGTGAGTTTTGATAAATGTATATGCTTATCTAACCAATACTCCAATGAAGATACAGAACATTTCCATGACCCAGAATCTCCCTTATCTTTCCTTCCAGACAATCCCTACCTCCCTTAGGCAACCACTGCTCTGATTTCTATCACCACCAACTATGCCACAACGTTTTCATTCGTGATTTTGTTTGATATTTTTGTTGGATATTTTAATTGCTTGCAGCTTTTTACTATTAGGAACAAAACTGCTATAAGTATTCTTGTACAAGTGCTTGTGAACATGTTTTCATTTCTCTGGGTAATTACTAAGAGTGGAATTGCTAGGACATAGGGTAAAAGTATATTTAACTTTATAAGAAACTGTCAGCTTGCCAACGTGGTTGTACTATTTTGCACTCCATTTTCTTTCTTGTCATGTCATGTCTTTGTCAGGCCTTGCTATCTGGATAATGTTCTCATAAAACAATTTGGGAAATGTTTCCTTCTCTATTTTTGAGAAAGTTTGTGGAAGACTGGTATTTCTTCTCTAAATATTTGATTGAATTTAATTTCTATAATAGATATGAGGCTGTTCAGAATTTCCAACTGATCTTGTGTCATTTTTATAAGTTGAGCTTTACAAGAAATCTGTCCATTTCATCTAAGTTGTCAAATGTATTAGCTTAAATTTGTTCTTTATAACTTTTATTAATCCTTTCAAATGATCAACTTTAGGCTTTAGTATTTTTTCTAATAATTGTCTATTTTACTGATTTCTGCTCTTACCTTTACTATTTATTTTCTTCTACTTAGTTTGGGTTTAATTTGCTCATTTTTTTTCTAGCTTCCTAAGGTGAAAATTTAGATTATTGGTTTTACAATTTTTTCCTTTTTAACATAAGTATATACGCTATTACTTTCCCTTGAGACACTGCTTTAGCTGCATGCTACAAATTTGGTATGTTATATTTTCAACATCATTCTGTTAGAAGTATTTTCTAAGGCCAGGCATGGTGGCTCACTCCTGTAATCCCAGCACTCTAGGAGGCTAAGGAGGGTGGATCACCTGAGGTCAGCAGTTCAAGACCAGCCCGGCCAATATGGGGAAACCCTGTCTCTACTAACAACACAAAAATTGGCCAGGTGTCTGGGACACGCCGGTAGTCCCAGCTACTTGGGAGGCTGACGCCAGGAGGTGGAAGTTGCCATGAGCCGAGACTGCACCACTGCACTCCAGCCTGGATGATGGAGACTCCATCTCAAAAATAATAATAATAATAATAATAATAAAATAAAATAAAATTCTAAGATCCCTTATGATTTCTTTTTTGACCCATGGGTTATTTAGAAGTGTAGTGGTTACTAAGTTTTGGGGGGGGTTTCTGAATATCTTTTTGTTGTTTATTTCTAATTTAATTACACTGTGGTCAGGGAACATACTCTCTAAGATTTTAATCTTGAAATATATTGAGACTTATTTTATGTTTCAGCACATTTCAGTGAATGTTCAACATGTTGGGTTTTAGGTTTTTTAAGAGACTGAGTCTCGCTCTGTCACCCAGACTGCGGTGCAGTGGCACTATCTTGGCTCACTGCAGCACTGACCTCCTGGGCTCAAGCCATCCTCCTGCCTCAGCTCCAAAAGGAACAGTGACTACAGGTATGCCCCACCATGCCTGGCTAATTTTTGTGTTTTCTTGTAGAGACGGGGTTTTTTTATGTTGTCCAGGCTGGTCTCAAACTTCTGAGCTCAGGCAATCTGCCTGCCTTGGCCTCCCAAAGTGCTGGGATTACAGGTGTGAGCCACCACACGCAACTCATCAATATGTTCTTGTTCCATGTTGTTGATTATAGTATTCTATAACCATCAACAAAGTCGAGGTTATGATATTATTCAGATCATCTATGTCTTTATTGATTTTCTGCCAAATTGTTCTATCATTACTGAGAAAAGGGTACTAAAATCTCTAACTATAATTGTGAATTTATCTAGTTCTCCCTTTTATCTGTCAGATTTTGCTCTATGTATTTTAAATAACTATTATTAGGTCCATATACACTTAGGATTATCCTCTCTTCCTAATGAATGGACCCTCTAACATTATAAAATGTCCCCTTTGTCTCTGGTAATACTCCTTGTCTTATATTCTACTTTGTCTGATATGAATATAGCTACAGCGACTTTCTTATGTAAACTGTTTGTAGGATGCATCTTCTTTCATCCTTTTATTTTCAACCTATTCGTATCTTCATATTTAAAGTGCGTATCTTGTAGACAATATATATTTGGGTCTTGGCTTTTTATCCAATCTGACAATCTCTGACATTTAATTGGAGTGTTTAGCCCTATTGACATTTAGTGTAACTAGTGATATGGCTGAGTATAAATCTGCTATCTTGCTATTCATTTTCATCCCTCCCATCTATTCTTGTTCTGTTTCTCCTTTCCTGTTTCTGAATGAATAAATTTTTTACATTCCATTTAATTCATCTATCTTTTTTAGCTATACCTCTTTTATTAGGAATTTTTACAATAGCTCCTCTCTAGGTTACAACATAAAATCCTCATGATAGTCAATTTACACTGAACATCACTTTTGTGCCATTGTTGTCATATATTTTATATATATAATATACCCCATAATACAATTTTTTTCATTAAGTGGTCAGTTATCTTTCAAAAAAATTAAAAGAGGAAAAAAAGGCAGTCTTTTATAGTTACCTGAATATTTACCATTTCCAGTACACTTAATTTCTTCTTATAGGTTTGATTTTCCACCTAGTATTATACTCTTCAAACTGCAGAATTTCTTTTAGCATTCCTTGTGATGCAGGTCTACTTGTGATGAAAAATGCCTTTATCCTATCTTAATTTTTGGAAGATAGTTTAGCTAGACACAGAATTCTGGGTTGACAGGGTTTTTAAATATTTGCTTGTTTCTCCCTTTCCCAGTATTTTAAAGATATTGCTCCATTGTTGTCTGGTTTCCACTGTTTGTGATGTAAAGTCAGCTGTCATTAGTGCTATTGTTCCTCTGTATATAATAGTTTTTATTTCCTTTTAGCTATTTAAAATATTTTTTTTTCTTTTTCTTTTTCGGCAGTTTGACTAAGATACAACGTCTGTATTTATCTAGCTTATAGATAAATCAAATTATCTATAAGATCAAATTATGCTGAGTTTTTTGGATCCATAATTTGTTATTTTAAAATAAAATTGGGGAAAATTCAGCTCAAAAGTAGAAACAACCCAGGTGTCCATAAACTGATGAATGCATAAATAAAATGTGCTATATCCATACAATGAAATCTTGACAATAAAGAAGAATGAAGTACTGATATGTGCTACAACATGGATTAACCCTGAAAACACGTAAGTGAAAGAAACCAGGCCAGGTGTGGTAGCTCATGCCTGTAATCCAAGCACTTTGGGAGGCCAAGGCAGGTAGGCTGCTTGAGGTCAGGAGTTCAAGACCAGCGTAGCCAACATGGTAAAACCCTGTTTCTACTAAAAATAAAGAAATGAGCCAGTGTAGTGGTGCACACCTGTAGTCGCAGCTACTTGGGAGGCTGGGGCATGAGAATCACTTGAACTCAGGAGGCAGAGGTTGCAGTGAGCTGAGATTGCACCACTGCACTCCAGCTTGGATGAAAGAGCAAGACTGTCTCAAAAAAACAAAAAACAAAAGAAAGAAACCACTCATGGCCGGGGGTGGTGGCTCACGCCTGTAATCCCAGCACTTTGGGAGGCAGAGGTGGGCAGATCATGAGGTCAAGAGATCAAGATCATCCTGGCCAACATGGTGAAACCCCGTCTATACTAAAAACACAAAAATTAGTCAGATGTGGTGGTGCCTGCCTTAATCCCAGCTACTCAGGAGACTGAGGCAGGAGAATCGCTTGAACCCAGGAGGCAGAGACTGTAGTGAGCCGAGGTCACGCCACTGCACTCCAACACCGTCTCAAAAAAAAAAAAAAAAGAGACACCAAGAAACCAGTCACAAAAGACCACATGTGTATGGTTCTGTTTACATGAAATATCTCAATAGATAAAATCTACAGAAACAAAGTAGATTAATGCTTGCCTAGGGCTAGTATGGATGGGAAAATACAGAGTGAGTGATAACAAGTGTGAGGTTTCTTGTGTGTGTGGAGTTTCTTTTTCGGATGATGAAACTGTTCTAAAATTGGTTGTGGAGATGACTGTGTAACTGTGAATAGGCTGAAAGCCACTGAATTGTATATTCTAAATGGGCAGATTGTATGGTATGTGAATAATATGTCAATAAGGTTGTTACCAAAAAAAAAAAAAAAAAGGCCAGAACTACTTTTTTTTTTTAAGAGACAGGGTTTTGCTCTGTCACTCAGGCTGGAATACAGTGGCACAATCACAGCTCATTGTAGCCTCAAACTTCTGGGCTCAAGTGATCCTCCTGCCTTGGCTTTCCAAAGTGCTGGGGATTAGAGGTATGAACCATCATGTCCAGCCAAGGTCAGCTCTCCTAACTCAAAATTCTGGGTTTTTATAAAATGCTTAATATTTTACAGTCTCCTTTCATATTTATATTATTTTAAATTTTACTTATTGAAATTAATTAAATTAATTTTAATTGCCCCATGTTTTTCTTTGGATGCTTTCAATGAACATAACCAATAGAATAACATAAAATATCATGTAGAGATACACTTGAATTTTAAAATGACATGTAACTAGGCCGGGTGCGGTGGCTCATGCCTGTAATCCCAGCACTTTGGAAGGTCGAGGCGGGCCGATCACGAGGTCAGGAGTTTTAAACCAGCCTGGCCAACATGGTGAAACCCTGTCTCTACTAAAAATACAAAAAATTAGCTGGGTGTGGTGGCGTGCACCTGTAATCCCAACTACTCTGAAGGCTGAGGCAGAAGAATTGCTTGGACCTGGGAGGCGGAGGGTGCACTAAGTTGAGATTGTGCCACTGCACTCCAGCCTGGGCAACAGAACAAGATTCCATCTCAGAAAACAAAACAAAACAAAAAAACAAAAATTAGTCAGACATGGTGGTGCATGCCTGTAGTCCCAGCTACTCGGGAAGCTGAGGCAGGAGAATTGCTTGAACCCAGGAGGCAGAGGTTGCAGTGACCCGAGATCATGCCACTGCACTCCAGCCTGGGTGACAGAGTGAGACCCTGTCTCAAAAAAAAAAAAAAAGAAAAGACATCTAACTAAATCTTGTAATTATATATAAGGAAGTCATCAAAGTGGTAGTTTTCTTTTAAATATGACTTTATAGCTAACACCTATTTTACATGGATTATCTCATGTGATTTTTTTCTCAATTCTGAGGTCAGCAGGAAAGGTGGTATTATCCTCCATTTTTCAGATCAGTAATTGAGGCTCAAAGAGTAATATATATACTCTTTGACCAAGATAACACATAGTTCACTTACCCAGGAATTTTAATTCTAAATACAGTATTCTTCTACACTACACCAAAAGAACTGATTCTCTCTCTTCTTTTTTACTTGGCTTTTTTTTTCCTAGTGTAGAACCTCTTTTCCCCTTTTTCACTGACACATTAAATACAAAGGGCAGAGGAAAACTAGAAGTATAATCATTTTCTTTTTTTAGTGATGTGGTCTTGTTACGTTGCCCAGGCTAGTCTCAAGCTCCTGACCTCAAGCTATCCTCCTGCCTCAGCCACTATGCCTGGCTATTTATTTAACTCTTATTTCTGAAGGAATGGAGAGTTTGGAGCAGGGCCATAAAACAATATTCCATTATCTCGTAGGGACACATTTATAGCACTGTTTTCTCCAAATAATTCTATGGTTACTCTATTTAGATAAAGCAACTGTGAACAGAAAATAACTTTCTGTTTTTCTTTGAGACAGTCTCGCTCTGCCACCCAGGCTGGAGTGCAGTGACACGATCTCAGCTCACTGAACCTCCACCTCCTGGGTTCAAGCAATTCTGGTGCCTCAGCCTCCCGAGTAGCTGGGACTATAGGCGCACGCCACCACACCTGGCTAATTTTTTGGTATTTTTAGTAGAGACAGAGTTTTACCAAGTTGGCTAGGCTGGTCTTGAATTTCTGACCTCAACTAATCTGCCTGCCTCAGCCTCCTGAAGTGCTGGGATTACAAACATGAGCCACCGCACCTGGCCAGAAATTAACTTTTAGTGTCTACAATATACAGTCTAATTATATTTTCTAGAACTGCATATGCATTAAAAGTCCCCTATGTACTCTGTTCAGTTATCAGGACAGTAACTACATTATTCCTTATGTTTTCCTGTACTAAGAGTTTTTGTCTAATCTAAAAAATATTATGTCCTTATTTATCAAAATGGACAGAGCCTAAAATATTAACTGCAATATATGATAGCTAATCCTAACATTCTATAAACATATAAAACAGACTCGCTTGAGAGAAAGATCACCAAAGTATTGCAAGGTAAATTGATCTTGCCTTGGAAAACTAATCTATCTCCAATCAAAATCAAGGAGTGTTTCTGGAAAGTCCTCTATTTCTGGCAAACAACTTAAGGCAAATCTCCACAGTTCTGTGTATTCTTAAAGCAATTCCCATATTAATTTTTCTACTCCAAGTCAGAGTAGGATAGTAACTATTACCTGAATTTCAGGAAGTAAACAACTAAGAAAAAGAAAGAAGAGACACAGGCAAAAAGCAGATATTAAATTTTTGATTCAAACTAAGTTTGAGTTAACCCAGTGTAGCACAAAGATCCCTGAGTACAAGTTAGAAGACATGAGTGTTAGCTGATTCTGCCTCTTGCTTATCTGTGTAATTTTGAGCAAGTCATTTTTATTTTGAGCAAGTCATCTGATCATTCTTTTCTTCATCTTTACGAAGGAGTTGAAAATACTTTTTTGTGCTTCTTATTCCCCAAGATTACTGTAAGGGTCAACTGACAAAGTATCTATGAAATTATAAAGCCCTATGCAAATGTAGAGTAATATGTGCATATATATGTGTTTATATGTATGCGTGTGTGTGTAGATGTTGATTACTTTCCAATATTAGTCAAGTTTGACTCATAGAAATAGTCTCTGACTTCTAGGAATTCACAGTTGAGAGAGGAAACAAACATTAAAAATAAACAATACAGTCGGCCGGGCGCGGTGGCTCACGCCTGTAATCCCAGCACTTTGGGAGGCCGAGGCGGGCGGATCACAAGGTCAGGAGATCGAGACCACGGTGAAACCCCGTCTCTACTAAAAATACAAAAAATTAGCCGGGCGCGGTTGTGGGCGCCTGTAGTCCCAGCTACTCGGGAGGCTGAGGCAGGAGAATGGCGTGAACCCGGGAGGCGGAGCTTGCAGTGAGCCGAGATCGCGCCACTGCACTCCAGCCTGGGCGACAGAGCGAGACTCCGTCTCAAAAAAAAAATAAATAAAAAAAAAAAAAATAAACAATACAATAAAGGAAAAAGTAAGGTAACAGAGGTATATACCAACTGTTATTGGACCCCAGCAAAGAGCTAAAGGAATCTGAGGGGAAAAGTCAGTTGTCATAAAGATTACAACTAGGCTTCAAGGAAGAGGCTGAGTTGCTAGAATTTCATCCAGATACATGGGCTTCAAGATACATAAAGTATCATGAAACCTCTGTTACAACTGGTTCTGCCTTCAATAATTAAAAGTAGTACTTAACCTCCTTAGACCTCTCTTACCACAAGTCTGAAATAAAGGGTTTTGGCAAAATAAACCCACAAGTCCTTCCAGGCCTAAAATTAGATGGTTCTATGAGTCAAACTCTGGTCACTGTACATATACCAAGAAAGAGGGTTCAAGAAAGTAATAAGCCAGAAGTATTAAAAAAGGAGTTCTCCACCAGGCACGGTGGCTCACGCCTGTAATCCCAACATTTTGGGAGGCCAAGGTGGGCAAATCACCTGAGGTCGGGAGTTCAAGACCAGCCTGACCAACATGGAGAAACCCCATCTCTACTAAAAATACAAAATTAGCCAGGCGTGGTGGTGCATGCCTGTAATCCTAGCTACTCGGGAGGCTGAGGCAGGAGAATCACTTGAACTCGGGAGGTGGAGGTTTTGGTGAGCCGAGATTGTGCTATCGCACTCCAGCCTGGGCAACAAGAGCAAAACTCCGTCTCAAAATAAAAAGGAGTTCTCAGGTGGGCTCAGTAGCTCATGCCTGTAATCCCAGCACTTTGGGAGGCTGAGGTGGGTGGATCACAAGGTCAGGAGTTTGAGACCAGCTTAGCCAATATAGTGAAACCCCGTCTCGACTAAAAAATACAAAAATTAGCCCAGTGTGGTGGCGTACTCCTGTAGTCCCAGCTACTCAAGAGGCTGAGGCAGGAGAATCACTTGAACCCGGGAGGCGGAGGTTGCAGTGAGCCAAGATGGCGCCACTGGACTCTGGCCTGGGTGACAGAGTGAGACTCTGTCTTAAAAAAAAAAAAAAGAAAAAAAGGAGTTCTCCCATTAACTGCTTTTTCTTGGAATCAGAAGTCTAAGAACAATATTTAGAAAAATATCCACCTAGAAAAAGCTGTAGCACAATGAAGAGTAGAAATTGGAAGGATATCAACAAGGGGAGAGGCAAAACAATACGTGATAGCACGGAATGAAGCATTCAGTTCTGCAAAGATATCACTTAGACCAGTAAGGAAATAGGTAGTATATAGGAAGTTATAATATTTACATTCTTATTCCAAGAAAAACTTGGAGTAAAACCAAAACCAGACCTTAAAATTTACACTTCCATAAAATGAAGTTGTTTGAGTTTTTGCCTTGGTAAACCACTTCTAAAAAAACCTATTTGTATGAAGAGTTCAGTTTAGGCATTATAAAGAAAAGGATCAAAAACCTAAATATACACAACTGAATTAGTTTCAGAAATGGTACCAAAAGTGGATATCAGATAATTCACCAAACATTTATTAAACTATGTTTAATAGGGCAAGTTGTTATAAAACACAGTCCAAGTACTCAAGGGATTCACTGATTTAAGACTGTAAACAACAAACTATAGTAACTCTTACCCATCAATGATATTTTCAGGTGGGTGTTTTTCATCACTTGATGTAGCTAAAATCACTTCGGACCCTTCAGAGCTCAGACAGAGATCAATTTTTCTCATCTTAAAATGTTTAACCTGCAAATCAAAAAATAACAAAAAAAGCAACTTCTTGATTCTCTAAACTTTATCTGAGAAAACCAAGTGAGAAGGAAAGGCTGTTGCCTAGCAGATGGTTTAACAGCCAAGCTATTCAACATGTGGGAGGGACTCTAACATGTTTGTTTATATAAGAAACCTCTCCCAGGGATAATCTATATGACATGACTATTTCTGCCACTCTGCTTCACAAAATAAGTCCCTGACTACCCTAGCCAAACAAAAAAACAAAAACACAGAGGTACAGGAAGAAGGTCAACAGAGGAGAACAACATGGAATACCATAAAAATACTCAATTAGGCCGGGTGCGGTGGCTCATGCCTGTAATCCCAGCACTTTGGGAGGCCAAAAAAAAATTTTTTTTTTCTGTAGAGATGGGGTCTTGCTATGCTGCACAGGCTAGTCTTTGTTTTGAGACGGAGTCTCACTCTTGTTGCCCAAGCTGGAGTGCAATGGCACGATCTTGGCTCAATGCAACCTCTGCCTCCCGGTTTCAAGCGATTCTCCTGCCTCAGCTCCTGAGTAGCTGGGATTACAGGCACCCGCCACCACGCCAGGTTAATTTTTGTATTTTTAGTAGAGACGGGGTTTCACCATGTTGGCCTGACTGGTCTCAAACTCCTGACCTCGTAATCCGCCCACCTCAGCCTCCCAAAGTGCTGGGATTACAGGCGTGAGCCAGCACACCCAGCTTGCTCAGGTTAGTCTTAAAACTCCTGGCCTCAAGTGATCCTCCTGCCTCAGCGTTTCAAAGTGCTGGTATTAAAGGCATGCGCCACTGTGCCCGGCCAGTATCAGTATTTTATAAAAATGCATTTATTCTTAGTTTTTATTTATTAGAATACAGTTCACTTTCTATTATATTTTAAAAACTAGTATCGATAGTATTAAAAGTGTGGTAACATTGGTAAGAAAACACATATATTTTAATTTTTTGTGCCTCTTTTCTCTATCAATCTTACCACAGCTTTTGACACTATTGATACCAGAGAAACAGTCAGTGTGGGATGAATTGTCAAGCCTTAGTTTTAAGAGGAGAAAGATGATGAATTCTGTAAATACAGATTGATAAACTTGAATGCTAATTCTCAACAAAACCCTAAAATTATTAAAATTCATTATTAAAATGGTAGCCTTGAAAATGTAACCAAGGAAGTACTAAAATTGGAAGTAGCAGTAACATTAGTTTACAAGCTAAACCAAACCTATACATTTCTGTTTGTCTGATGGAATTCCTACCCATTTGGAACATGTTCTAAACATTTCGACAAAGCTTCAGACAAAGCTTCTCAAGATACCCTGTGAACCCGACAGAGAAATATGAATTGGGTGACAGCCAGTACTCTAGGTAGATATTTCTAACTCTGAGTGGCTATACTCAAAGAATGATGATTAATGGAAGAAAATGAACTTGTGGAGAACTTCTATCCTTATCCTACTCAACATTTTTATTAATTAAGGATGCACAAAGTATGCTCATCAATTTTGCAGACACAAAGCTTGGGATGTCAGCTGATACGCTAGGTGACAGAATTAGCATTCAAAAAGAAATGAGTAAGCTAGAAAGATGGCTTGCAATGAGTAAGTCATCTAGTAAGGATAAAAGTAAAAACCTTTACTCAGTTTTGGAAAAAATCAATCATACAAGGGTTAGTCTAAATCAGGGGTTAGCAAACTACTGCCTGTGAGCCAAATCTAGCCTGCCATTTGTTTTTGTACTGCCCACAAGCTAAAAATGTGTTTAACATTTTAAAATATTTTTTAAAATCAAAATATACTGTGACACACAAAAATTACATGAAACTCATATTTTAATGTCCATGAATTATATTGGAAAGTGGCTATGCTCATTCGCTTATATATTGCCTATGGCTGATTATATGTTACAGTGACATAGCTGAGTCACTGAAACAGACTACAAGGCCCATAAAACCTGAAATATTTACTATTTGGCCCTTTACAAAAAAGTGTGCCAACCTCTGATCTGATACATATAGGTTTGGTTGATCACAAAGTCAATATAAGGCAACAGTGTACTCTATCTGCCCCTAAAGGTAATGGAATGCTATCTTAGAGTTTAAGGAAGTACCACATTCCATCAACATTTTTGAACACCAGTTGAACTAAGGGCCAAGCACTGTGCTAGTATTGCAAAGACGAATATAACAACCTAGGGACTAAGACTTGGTTCTTGCCTTCAAGTTTCAGAGTCAAGGAAGATGAATAAGCATGAAGCTAATAGTATAATATACTACGTACTAACATCGTGTGACGCACATCCAGAACACTGTGTTCAGTTCTGGGTAGTATGTTTTAAGTAGGACATCGTCAGGCGCGATATTGTTCAGAGGAGAGTAAAAAGTTCATGATGATCTATAAACCATATTACATAGAGGAAGGTGAAAAATAGAAATATGACTACCATTTTTATTCTCAGTGGTGCTCACAAATGGAAAAAGGATTTTTTACACCTCCAGGGGTGTGAACTGAACTCAACAAATACACATTTTGAGCAGGAACTTTGGAGAGACAAGGACTTTCGTGCAAAGTAAAGATTTTAAATTTCTTTCATCCCTGGAAACATCCAAGAAAAGTCAGTAAAAGATCATAATCTATGGAAGAAGCCAAAGAAATCTATGGAGGAAGCCAAAGACAGGATTCCTGCATTGGTAGTTCTCTTGGACTGAGTCAAATTCTAGGAAAGGTAGATTGGGAAAAGATAATGAAAGATCTGAAAAGCCAAGTTAACGGCAATGAAGTTTATCTTGTACTCCGTACTCCAGTGGTTCTCAACTGGACTGGGGGTAGATTTTGGCCTCCAACGGACACTTCACAACATGTGAAGTTTTAGCTGTCACAACTTGGGAGGGAAAATGCTGCTAAATATACCATCATATAGAGGACAGCACATCCACAAGTAATTATTGGACCCATGTATAAATAGTGTAAAGCTGGGGAAACTATGCAGTAATCTATTTGGGGGTGGAAATGTGAGGGTTGGAGCTATAGGGAGATAACTTTTTTTTTTTGAGATAAGGTCTGGCTCTATGGCCCAGGCTGGAGTGCAACCATGTGATCTCGGCTCAATGCAACCTCTGCCTCCCGGGCTCAAGCGATCCTCCCACCTCAGCCTTCCTAGTAGCTGGGACTACAGGCACGCACCACCAAGCCTGGCTCATTTTTTTGTTTTGGGACAGGGTTTTGCCATGTTGCCCAGGCTGGTCTCTAACTCATGAGCTCAAGCGATCCGCCCACCTTGGCCACCCAAAGTGCTGGGATTTCAGGAGCGAGTCACTGTGTCCGGTCAAGAACTTGTTTTTTAAAAAAGAGATGGCCGGGCGCGGTGGCTCAAGCCTGTAATCCCAGCACTTTGGGAGGCCGAGACGGGCGGATCACGAGGTCAGGAGATCGAGACCATCCTGGCTAACACGGTGAAACCCCGTCTCTACTAAAAAATACAAAAAACTAGCCGGGCGAGGTGGCGGGCGCCTGTAGTCCCAACTACTCGGGAGGCTGAGGCAGGAGAATGGTGTGAACCCGGGAGGCGGAGCTTGCAGTGAGCTGAGATCCGGCCACTGCACTCCAGCCTGGGCGGCAGAGCCAGACTCCGTCTCAAAAAAAAAAAAAAATAAAAAAAATAAAAATAAAAAAGAGTTACACTTCAGGGTTGATATGGAGATGAATAGGAAAGAATGTACTTCCCAAGTGTTCAGTTCTTTTCTTACCTCACATTCTTAAGTTTTCTGAGAAGCAAACACATGCTTTAATGCAAAACTCATTTCACACCTTCTATATTCAACATTATCCTCCCTATTTCCTGTTTTGGGTAGAATTACTTAAGTAGAAATGGCAGAGACTGGGTTTTCTTCATCTTTTGTTGCAGTTAATGACAAGAGACAACCAACCTTAGAGAAATACATACAATGACGCCAGTGACTCACGCCTGTAATCCTGACACTTTGAGAGGCCGAGATGGGCGGACAGCTTGAGCTCACAAGTTCAAGACCAGCCTGGGCAACATGGTGAAACCTCGAAATCCCCTCTACTAAAACTACAAAAATTAGCCGGACCTGTTGGCAGGCGCCTGTAATCCCAGCATTTGGGAGGCCCAGGCAGGCGGATCACTTGAGGCCAGCAGTTCAAGACGAGCCTGACCAACATGGTGAAACCTCGTCCCTACTAAAAATATAAAAATTAGCCGGGTGTGGTGGCGGGCGCCGGTAATCCCAGCTAATCCAGAGGTTGAGGCAGGAGACTCGCCTGAACCCAAGAGGCGGAGGCTCAGTGAGGTGAGATCGCGCCACTGCACTCCAGCATGGGCTACAGAGCGATGATGTCTCCAAAAAACAAAACAAAAGTGCAGGTTTGGGAGGTAGTCTAATCCCCCACCCCTTCAGAACAAGGTAATTTCCTCAGGGCCGCAGTTTACCAAAGGTGGTACACTCTGGGGTGCTATCCTTTCCATTTTTTACAATCCCTGACCCTGGAATTCCCTGATGCTTTATCCTGTCTTTCAAATTAGGGCCACTGGTTTCGTCCCCAGTTCACCCCTTCATCGCTAGCTCACATGCCCTTTGTGGTCCTTCTTTCTCCAAACCTCTTCAGGTCAAGTCCTTAGAGGACCTTCAACCTGACCAGCCCCCTTGGTTCTGGTGCTACAGCTGGACTCCTCATGCTCTTTCAAGTACCATCCATTGGGAACGTGGTGTACTTTAGAAAACGCGGACCTGGCCTACGGCTTGTCTCCGCGGGGACAAGGCCACCGCTTCCAAGACAAACCAGCCCTGGCACCACCTTCTCACCTCCATCCCAAACCCTCCTCCTCAGTCCCAGGCCCTGTGGAGACAGACTTCCGAGGGCCCTAGAGCCTCAGACTTGTGGAGGCCTCGCCCCAAAGTATGTAAAGAATAAATGCCCCCGACCTTAAGTACAATTCATAGCTAGATGGCTTACGTTGCGGCTGACAGCTTACATTTTGGTAGGCTAATTAATTTCGATTTACAATTGGTTTTCCCTTTTGGTGGTCAAGACGCTATTTCTGGCCTCAAAGAGCTTCGAGGCCTGGCACTGGCGCCTCCAGGGTCTAGAGGAGAAGGCGGGTCCGCGTCAGACCTCCCGCGACGGCCCTTCCACGCCTCCCGTTGCTCGTCTTTTCACCACCCTCCACTGTTGCTCCCTTCCCACCAGCATCCCCTTCCTTCTGCCTTGCCCGGCCAGGCCCCCACACCCCCTGGTACCAGCCTGCCCACCCCGCGGCCCGCTCGCCTGGTACTTCTGGGCGCCGTACCTTCCTGGCTCGAAACCTCCCTTTCGCCCCGCCCCACGCAGAGCGCCCCAACCCACAGCCCCGCCTCCTCGCCGCAGCCTCAGCGGAGTTCGGGACTGCGCGCGCTCCAACTCCGAAATCTTCGCGCCACGCCTCCCACAAGCCCCGTCTCACCCTCAGCCCCGCCCCCTCGCCGCGACCACAGCGGAGTTCCCGGGCGCGCGCTCCTACCCCGAGCTCTTCGCGCCACGACTCCGACAGGCCCGCCCTGCCCTCAGCCGCGCCCCCCGCGCCGCCGCGGCCTCCGCAGAGTTCCCGGGCGCGCTCGCTCCTACCCCGAGCTCTTCGCGCCACGCCTCCCACAGGCCCCACCCCGCCTCAGCCCCGCCCCCTCGCCGCGGCCTCGGCCCCTCCTACCCCTAGCTCTTCGCGCCACGCCTCCCACAGGCCCCGCCCGCCCTTGACCCCGCCTTCTCCAGCTCCCATTACTTCGCGGGCCAAGATGCGCAACCACTCCCGAGCGCCTTTCCCAGGGCAGTCCCAGGACTTGCGCTGCCTACCCTCCCCCAGCTCAGCTGTATCCCTGGGGCCCGCAGGACCCAGGGGATCCGCCCTCCCGCGAGCACGCACGCGCAGGGCCCACCTCTGCTAGTTCCAAACCCTCGGCCCTCGGGTCGCCTGCCTGGGGCCCGGCCCCGCCTCTAGACCCGGCCCCGCCTTCGTGCCGGGGCCCGCGCACGCGCGCCTCCCCGGCCCAGCCTTGCCCCCGTCCCCGCCGGTCCCGCGGTCCCACAGCGCCTGGTTGCCCCCAGCCCTCTCCCTCCTCCCACCCTCGCTGTGTCCCACCCTCCCTAGCTTTGTGCCCGGGGTGCTGAGCCGTTCCCCGTCAGCCGCGCCGCGGGAGGAGGGAGCCGCCACAGAGGAGCTGCCGCTCGCTGCCCCGGGCAGGGGCACAGGTAGGTGGCGGCCGCGGGCCGGGCCGCTCGCGGGGCCCCGGGTTGCGTGTGGGAGCGGGGGCGGGGTGTTAGGGAGCGGCGGGGTGGGGGAGGGGAAGCCCGAGAGGGACGGCGGGGCGCGGGTTGAGGGGAGGATGAGGTATATGGGTGTGGACGATGGATTTAAGGGTGGCGTAGGGGTGCGGGGGCAGGCTATGGGGACGTGTGAGAATTGGGGTTCGGGGCCGGGGTGGGATAGGGAGCAGGATTAGCCTGGGTGGACTCGGGGAGAGGCACGCGTGGGGAGAGAGCGGAACGAAGGCATGCGTGGGGAGAGAGCGGGAAGAAGGAATGGGGAAAGGAAATGGGATTTTAGGGGTTCAAGGAGGAAAAGAGCTAGGATAGGAATAGAGAGGGTGGGGTCTTGGGGACAGGGAAGAAAAGTTGGGGGTGTGGAATGCCAAGTTAGGGATAGGCGTGAAGGAAGAAGGTCTTGAAGATTGAGAACAGAAGGCAAGGAAAGGGTTGGAGAGATTGGGGGCCTAGGAGAGGGAAGCCCCTAGAGTGGGAAGACGGGAAGAATAGATGGTGGAGGGAAGGAGTGGGGGTGGAGGAGTTGGGGAAAGAAAGGGAGGCAGGTGGAGGTTGGGAGATTGGAGGTTGGAAGGGTTGGGTCTGTGGAACAAGCAAGCCACCTTTCAGCAGGAGCACGGAAGGGCTGGAAGGGTCTGAGGCTTGAGGCGGGCAGGGGAGCTGAGGTGAGCGAAGGGAGTGGGGTTAGGATTTTTGGTGTGAGAAGCGCTAGAGTTGTTAAGAGTCACATTGTGGGAGAGATTGGCATGTTCTTGGGGGGCAGTAGGGAGCCTGAGAGAGGAAAAGGTATGGATGAGAAGGCAGTAAAGTGCATATTATAGGAAAAAAGTAGTGAGGAAAGTTGAAAATTGAAGAATGGGGACACACAGAACAATGAAGGTGGATTGTTGGTTATTGCTGGTTTAGAACTACCCACAGTTTAGTTTCTGTTCAGGTTTTTATTTAGAAATTTTCCCAAGAATACTGCATTTTCAGATAAACTAAGTGTGGGCAGCCTTGGGATGAAGGCCATGGGCTGGCAGATGTTCTCCTGGTATATAGATGTAGCTCATTTTGGGCCTGGCAGAGGGAAGAAGGGAGGCCTCGTTGTAACTGTCTTGGCTCTGTTCCCACCAGCTCTTTCCCTAGATGTGCACCGGTTTTCGTTTTTTTTTTTTTTCAATCTTATCCCTTCCCCCTCCCCTCAGGCTTCAACCAGTGAATACTAGAGGGATCAAACAGGTGGGTGAGATTAATTTTTCACATTTTTTTTTTCTATCCTTAAGGCTGATGTCATATTTTTAGTCTTGAGAAACAGCATCATGCCAAGGAAAGAGCTTGAGCTTTGCAGTAATGCGACCCTGAGATTGAATTCTGGCTCTGCCACTTACTAGCTCTGTTCTAGAGTAAGTTATTTTACTTCCGTGGGTCTCTTTGTCTATTAAAAGGCAATACTGACCTCATAGGTTCATTAGAGATTACATGAGATCACTTTATATAGTACCTAACAGTGCTTGGCAACTGGTAGGTGCTTAATAAATGGTAGCCATCATCCAGTATCGTTAAACATCATAGTTATTCCTACAACTTACTATTCTTAGGGGATTTTTATCTTACTTTATCTTCTGAAGTTAGGTATTTTCTTCTTCTCTTCAAATTAGCTGTAAATTCAGCTCATAATTTTACCCTGTGGGCTCCCTGATAACCCCAGTTCACCTGACTGGGATAGTCATGCTTTTTGCTTGGAAAACTGGATTCAAGGTCTAAAAAACTGTCATGTGTAGTATCAATAATTTTATCTGGCCTTTTTCAAGAAAGCTGTATAGAACTGAGTTTTTAATGTAATACAGCTATGTTTCATTCATTTGATGAAATGGTACACTTCGTGGTAACTTTGGCTCTCTTGTGGTGACCAAATGCTAGAACATACATTATTATAATATTTTTCTATGCTGTCGTATGGGTTACAAAGCTGCCTTACTGTAGCAGGCTGGGAGACTATCAAAATGTCGCTGTTACTCTTGATCCAATATATAATACAGCTACTACGATCTACATTGGACATTGTTATTATTTTAGTGACTAAGTATTTTAATTTTTCAATTTGGATGGGGTTTTCACCATGGTTTAGAACAGGTCCATTTGTAATACACCACCCTGTACACCATCCTGTACATTAGCGAGGGTCAAATAAACCCAAGTAGAGAAGTTTTATGTAGAATTCTCTTGCCTTTCTGGTCCTTAGCCTTGAAGGGTTCAAATGTTAATTTAATGCTTAGATCATGTTATAGTACCTCAGATCATGTTATAGTACCTCATAGACTCTCAGGAAGCTCCTTTTTGGGAGAATGCAGGACGTGCTGATTTAGTAGTAGAAATTAAAGGACACCAGGATTCCTGAACCAAAGTCAATTCCTCCAGTGGCTTCTGGACAAATGATGTGGGTTTACTCTCCAGGAAAAAATTGTATTTATTTTTTCCTCATTTAGAAAGAGAAATGGTATTTGATGGGTAATCTAAAGAAAAACAAACAAAAAACCAGAACCGTTCCCTTTTCTTGAAAATGATCCCTGGAAGCCAAAGCATCCCAGATTTTGAGGAGCCCAGATTAGGGTCCTTACTCTAGTCCCAAGCTGCTTGTGCCCTCTGCTGGATGGAATCAGACTTCTGATTTTCATCTGAAGTGGTCACCCACCCACCCAGCCATCCATCCATTTGTCCATTTTACAACAGTATTTGTGGAAGACACTATTAGGGGTGAGGGTTGGGGGCAATACAGATGGGCAGACCCTGTTTCATTGCTCAGGGAGTTCACAGTGTATTCATCCACTATAATAGGGTATCTTCCATAGAATTTGTCTTTCTGTTGTTAAAATCACGTCAGTCCTTTTTAGGGCTATACCTAGCATCTGCTTTCTGATCTACAGGTAGAGTAGAGCTCTGAATGTTAAATGACAGGGATAAAAAACCAAAGGACATCTGCTTTACTTCCTCAGTCAAAATTAAGGTCTGCAAGGTTGGAGGGTCCAGATGCTCACCCCTACTGGAAGAAGAGCTCAGAATAAATGAGGCATCTCCTTAGCAGCAGGCGCTGTAAATGCTGGCAAGAGAAAAGTATGGGTTGTAAGAGCTAGCACTGTGACAGAATTTTTTTCCCCTTGTTTTTTAGTTTAGTTGTCTCCCACCCCTTGTAGTACCAGTAGCAATATACTCCCATCGTCTTCTTTGCCTTTGCCACCTGCAGAATGGTCTGGCAAGTGGGGGAGGAGCCTGCAGCTGTTGCCTGGAAAAGGAGCTGGCTCCTAGCAACAGTATCAGCAGGCCCTGCAACTGAGAGCACTAAGTTTGTCCTTTGAGGTCTTACCCTTCCTTTCATACAGTTCAGCAAATATCTTTTGAGGGCTTACTTAGTGCTAGGCACTATGTCAGGCCTGGGAAAGATAGATGAATCAAATAAGTACCTTGCCTTCAAAAAGCTCACCACTCTGGGTACATTAACAAGTGAACAGACATAGTACATGGTGCTAAGTGCTATGTAGGAGAGACTAGGTGCTCTGGGAAAACCAGACAGGCACATACTGGTGCAGGGGTTAGGGAAGGTTTCCCAGAAGAGGAACGATGTTAATGATGAGTAGGAATTAGCTAGGTCAGGGAGGCAGAGCAGGATGTTCCAGCCAAAGGGAACAGAACGGGCAATGGCCAGTGGGACATGAGAGCATGGCCAGTTTACCTGGGTAGTATGACAGGGCCAAAGATTGTAGGACATAAGGAGATGAGCAGGAAAGAGTGAGGCTCTAGAGCTAGGCAGAATACTCTTCTCTCGTGCTTTTATACACATAATTATCCTTGAGAGAAACATGGATAATACTGATTCCCACACACAGGACCATTATTTCATCTCCAGAGACTCAGCATTTTTGATCACGGACTTAAATGTGGCTGACACTCGTAAGTGGCTTCAGGGCCACATTGTGGCCCCACATTGATGCAGAAGAAGCTGAGTTGGTTCACTCTAAAACTCAATCATATTCTTTTAGGGATATTATCAGGCCTGTATGATATTCTACCTCTCTTCTCCCTTTAAATTGTAGAAATGATCATCAAATAAATACCTTCATTTTATTTAACATAGCACTTTTTCATGTATTTTGAAATCTCACGGTTACTCAGGAGGAAAACAAGTATTCCAGTTCTTGGGCACATAATATTACCCACATGACTGCAGAAATGCCCAACTGTTTGACTTTTTTATGTTAAAACTGCCCTAATAGAACTTTAATAGATACGAAGTGTCCAAAGGCTAGAATAGCTTTTATGTAGCTCTTGTAGTGGAGGTGTTTATTTCTAGATTAAAAAAAAAT